AAAGCTGAATTAGGAAATCTGATGCAGAGCTGACAGTTTGAATGAAGATAGTGGTGATGAATATGGACTGTATGATCAATTGAGAAGAAAAAAAAATGTATCCTGGAAGAAGTACAACAACAGTGGTTGTTGTTGTTGTTGTTGTTAGGTGTCATCAAGTATTACCCATAGTGACCCTATGAACCACAGATCTGACCCTTGCCTTAATCCATGCCAATCTCACACAATTTTCTGTCACAAAATCTGGCACACTCAAGCCCACTAATGCAGTCACTGTGTCAATCCACCTGGTTGACAGTCTTCCTCTCCTTCGTTGTCCCCCCACCTTTTCAAGCACAGTGTCCTTTTCCAAGGATCAGCCTCTCCTAGCAAAATGCCCATAATATTGGAGATGAAGCTTTGCTATCCTTGCCTCCAAGGAGCACTCTGGTTGTACTTTCTCCAAGAAAGTGTTTTGTTCATTTGGCAGTTCATGGGTTATACAGCATTCTTCTCCAGTACCACATTTCAAAGGCATTCTTCTGTCATCTTTAATCACTGTCCAGCATAGCATGTGACTAAAAAGACCATGGTCTGAATCAGACACATCTTAGTCCTCAAACAAACATCATTGCTCCTCATTAATTAGGAGAGGTCTCTAACTGCAGATTTTCCCAGTGCAATACATCTCCTGATCTCCTGACTGCTGGCACCAAGTGTACTGATTGTGGATCCATGTAAGATTAAGACACTGAAAGTTTCATATATTTCTCCATCTATCATAATGTCACCTATCAGAACAGTGATGAGAATTTTCATTTTATTAACATTGACAATAGTGCAGTCTTTGACCTTCTTCAGCAAGTGTTTCAATCTTTCTCACTTTTAGCAAGCAAGGTTGTGTCATCAACATACTCAAGGTTATTGATGTGTCTTCCTCTAATCCTTATGCCACACTCTTCTTCATAGAGTCCAGCTTCTAGTATAATACACTCAGGATCTAGATTGAATACGTATAGAGAAAGGATACAACCCTGACACATGCGTTGTTTCTTTTTAAAGCATATGGTATATGAAATCTTAACCTTAACCCAGAGTGCTCCTCGAAAGGCACAACTCCATTTCTGGTACTTTGGATGTGAGTGGTATCCACTTGAACTTTGATAAAGGTTGATAGTTGTAGAGAGGCTTCAGACCTTTTGTTCACAGTGTGGCTATGTTCGTGTTCGACTTGAAGGCAATCAACAACAACAGCAGTCCTTGAAGAAGGACATCATTCTTGGTAAAGAAGAAAGGTCAGTGGAAAAGCAGCAGACCTTCATAAAATGGATTAACACAGTGGCTACAACAATGTGCTGCAACAGTAATGACTATGAGGATTTTGCAGGACCAGGAAGTGTCTAATTCTGTTGTACACAAGGTCACCATGGCTTTCCACTGACTTGATTACACCCAACAACATTCCCGTGGGATTTACTGCCACTGAAAGCCCATTGGAGGTCAGCCATGGGTCGGCTCCGACTTGATGGCACACAACAACAACAAGTGTAAGTGATAATTTTGAATAGTGATTCTATAGGAAAATGCACTCAGAAATAATTGCCACTGTCAGAGACCTATGTGCCTCTTTCTCCCAGCTGTAGCAACAGGAGGAAGGAATCCCCAGACTCTTCACAGTCGGCCGTGGTCTTGAAGGAGTCATATAATAACAAGGCTCTGGATGGTCAGGAGATGAGCAGAACAAAAAGTTTCTTGAACAAGACAATCAGGAGCAGGGCTAAAAAGATACTAAATTCTGAAAAATATTTTTCTCCCTTTCTCTACATTTTCCAAATTATCACTAATAATCCTTTTCCCCTCTACTTCCACACTAAGCAAGAAAGAAAAATGTGTTTCATTACAGCAACAGTTTTTTCTTGGAAGGAGAGCTCTCCTCCTCCCATCAAAAGAGGATCGTGTAACAAGCAGAATGAATGAGGTTCACATTAAAACAAGATTATCCTGCATTAATCACCTACCACATGTCAAAGACACTGCATCAAGTACCAGCGACAGAACAGACAGCAAATGTAGCACCTGAACCAGAAAAGATAAAAATCTGGTAGAAGAGGAAGATAACTATAAGTCTAGTAAAGGATCATCAGAGAGGTAAGGGTTTGGCCCATTTCATCAGGATGGAATAACCAACTGCCAATGCTAATATGGGGTGGAACAGAGGAGGGATAGAGCAGCTATGCAAAAACTTCAGAAAGAAAGTGAATGTCACTCTGGTCAGATTACTAAAAAAAATATTATGATGAGGAAATTATTAAACTTTGAAATGAAACTAATCCCTGGAGTCAACTTTTAACCAAAACTCAATTTTGGTCTAAATTAAAAAAGAATGCTGTATTAGCGAATCCTTTTTCAGGCAATTATCTATATATGATGAAATGGAAACAGTAACTTAAATGGACAGATAAGAAGCCTAGAGAGACAAAGAGCTTGTGTTAATGATGGAATAATTGTTTGAAAAAGGCAATCAAAAGGAGTGATACAATTTGAAACATGTAATCAATGTCAGTGAATTAAGTGATGTAGAAATTAATGAAGTGGTATGTTTGTTGTGTATATTTTCTTACCAAAAAAAAAAAAGAATAATCAACTAATTTTTAAAGGGAAGGAAGTGACTCTCAACCAATAATGAGGAGGTCTTTTTTGGCAGTTTATGAACAGAAATAATTCTGCAAAAATTGGCAAAGAGCCCCAAGCACAGCCTGGTTCATGATAACACTGTGGAAGGGAAGTTGGAACAGAAAGAGAAACAGACTTTAAAAAAAAATATGCATTTGGAAAGAGAATGGAGGAAGAGCATGGGCTGACGAAAGTAGGCAGGCAACAAATACACAGACCTTGATCTGTCATAAAGTGAAATAAGCCTCACTGCCAGAGAGCCAGTGCTGATTCACAGTGACCCTCTGCTGGCTGTAAATCTTAACCTAGCTTTCTCCCTCGAAGTCAATGATGGATTAGAATTGTCAGCCACATGAAGCCTTTTTGCTGGCAGCACAACTCACCAAGGACTAAGCCACCAAAGCTCTCTCCATCCCTACCAGCACATCCAAAACTCGGCGCCAGTGAGTCAATCCCAGCTGAACAGATCTGTCCCACGGGGCTCTGTGTGTTCAAACAGATGAGCTTCTAGTGAGCAGTCCAGTGTTCATCCACTGTGCCACCAGGGAAGCTTCATCATAGGACAAGCCTTGGAAATGCACTTTCCATTTCAATCTGAGCTTTGTACTTTATTTTGCTTATAGTTCATTCTACTCTTTTTAAAAAATACATCAAATACATAAAAATATTAAGCCTGTTTTTAAATTCTTTATTTTAAAGGCTCCTGCACTGCAAGTATAAATGGACATTAAACTGGAAAAAACTAAAAACACTGCCTTTTCTTTCCTGAGAATATCTTTAATTGGCTGCCTCTAACATGGCACATTATATATTATGCATTTAGGCACTTGGGTTATTTACAGTAACAGAATCGTTTTCTCTGTGAAAAGACCTCATGAGAAATCCACCTTGTTTTTCTAAGGTTCCCAGAAGGATGGCAGTCATATGACATTAGTTAACCATGTATCAGTAGAACATAAATTATTCATGCACATTTCCAGTGTCTAGGGTAAACAGAAATGGCACTCACAAATTAAACAGAACTGTTTAACAGGACAATTTACTAAACCAAAAACTGTGAGCCTTTCACACAAAAAATCAAGTCTTAGGTATCCATGGGACAGAAAGAGAGATCGATGTTAACCATGGTTAAGTCTTCTCTACAAACAACTAACCATTCCTGACCACTTTTCCCCAAACTCCTATTTTGTAATACTGTACAGTCTATGTCTAAGCATAAAAGGAAATGGATACCACATACACAGAATTAATGTTCTAAAGAAAGACCATCAAAACTAGTAACAGATAGACAGGTTTAAAACTTAAATATTCTCCCTCAATGGAAATACATACCTTGAAATCCCAGAACAATAATTTTTCAAAAATAATACCTTGAAATCCCAGAATAATAATTTTTCAAAAATAAAATTGCTTTGCTTAAAGAAGGCAATTCTCTAAAAGGCAAAAAGTAAAATGTGATATCATGCCTCACTCACTTTTAAGATTGATTCTTCATAATATATTCCAAATTTTCTAATAACTTTAAGTCATAAAACAGAAAGGAGCTATGGTGGCACAGTAGTTAAGCACTCAGCTACTGTATGAAATGTCAGTAGTTCAAACACACCAGGGCTCTGTAGGAACTCTGTAGGATCTGCTTCTGGAATTCTAACTTCCCAGGTAACCACATGGCACAGTTCACGCTGGGACATACAGTAACTGTGACTAAGAATCAACTCAACGACAAGACTACAGAACTTTTTTTCCTTGTATTTCAGTATACAACTACTTCATTTTAAGAACAGGATTAAGGAATGATTCATTTCATCAACTTTGGTGGTGAAGGGAGGTAACTTTGCAACAATGAATAATATTTTTTAAAAAGTGAATGGGGTAGGGGAGCTGAAGGAAGGGAGTAAGAATGTGCAAAAATGAATGAATGAAAATCTAACTTCTCTGTAAACTTTCGTTAAGACCATAATTAAAATACTTTTAAAAAAATCTAGATCTCCAACAGGAAAAAAATCTCAAAATATAAATGAATGAAATATAATTTAAATGAAGGTCTGTATGGAACACAATGTACATGCATGAAACACAATGTATATGAATGACAAAAAACGTTAATAATATTTTTACAAGAACATTATTTTTTAAAGTTAATTACATTTCTGTCCAATTTTATTGAAGACATCATTATTTCCATAGGGTATGTATCTCTGATTTTACCAAAGAAATATAAAACTAAGTATATAATATAAATATAAGTTAGACAAAATCTACTTTCCCTTATAGTATACAAGAACTTCTACTTCATAATGGGAGAGATCTATAAAAGCAAATGAAATTTTGACATCTGAGAGACTCACCTTGCCTTTTTGGTTTAAGGGTTCAATTGTCAAATTGTCGGGGCCAATATCCACAATATTGCCCATCTGGAATCCATCCGTAGGGTGAGGCGCCCAAACAGGCTTTCCATCCTCCATTTTTTAAGAGGGGTACCCACTATCTCTGTAACAAAGGAAATAACAAAGTGCATAAACAACTCTGAAACTATAAATAACATCTTTTCTTCAAAGGATCAAATGCAAATTGTTACATGATCAACTGCATCTCATTTCTACCAACAGACAACCACCCCTGCCACAAGGAACTCCTCACGTAGTCCCTGCATCTTGACTCTGGCCCCTTCTCAGCCCTCAGGCAGCATGAACTTAACCATCTCCTCCCTTCAGTGGGACTGGAGCAGAATTCTACTCTAGGATATAACAGTAAAAGTTTTGTATATTGGCCATTGTCCTAATGTCATTTATAATAACACCATCTTTTCTGAGAGACCCCTGGCCTAGTCTCCAGAGCTGGTAGGGAGCTGCTAACCCAAACACTGCACCTCTCTGGTGATTTGAGTTCATCAGCGGCTGTGCAGGATTAAATAATCTTCCCCCATGTAATTTACAGCCTAGAAAACCCAACATAAAATCAGTGTATAAGCTGGACCTGGCTTGATAACAAAGACATTACTATTTCATAAGCCCCTGCGATATGTACAGTGCATGTCAGGCTGCTAATTGAAAGGCTGGTGGTTCAAATCCAGCAGGCTCTGGGAAGGAAACAGCTGGCAGTCAGTCTCCTCCTGTTTACATGCTCAGAAACCCAGTGAAGGGTAACTATGAGCAGGAATCAACTTGATGGCAAGTAGACTTGGGTTGGGGTTTTTTACTACCTAAAAATACTTTTGTTATCATAATCAAATAATCCTATGAACAGATGGAAAGTGTTAGCTAAGATTTGAAAAATAAGTGATTTATATCCTGTGCCCATTTTTCAGTTGGGTTGTTTATCTTGTTGTGGTGCTCGAGTATTTTATAAATTCTAGATAAAAGTCCCTTATCAGACAAGTCATTACCAAATATTTTAAATCCCCAGTCTGTGGCTTCCCTTTT